GGGGACAGACAGACAGACACTGAGCTCTCTTTATACAGGACGGGGGACAGACAGACACTGAGCTCTCTTTATACAGGACTGGGGACAGACAGACACTGAGCTCTCTTTATACAGGACTGGGGACAGACAGACACTGAGCTCTCTTTATACAGGACTGGGCACAGACAGACACTGAGCTCTCTTTATACAGGACTGGGGACAGACAGACACTGAGCTCTCTTTATACAGGACTGGGGACAGACAGACAGCACTGAGCTCTCTTTATACAGGACTGGGGACAGACAGACAGCACTGAGCTCTCTTTATACAGGACTGGGGACAGACAGACACTGAGCTCTCTTTATACAGGACTGGGGACAGACAGACACTGAGCTCTCTTTATACAGGAATGGAGACAGACAGACACTGAGCTCTCTTTATACAGGACTGGGGACAGACAGACACTGAGCTCTCTTTATACAGGACTGGGGACAGACAGACACTGAGCTCTCTTTATACAGGACTGGGGACAGACAGACACTGAGCTCTCTTTATACAGGACTGGGGACAGACAGACACTGAGCTCTCTTTATACAGGACTGGGGACAGACAGACACTGAGCTCTCTTTATACAGGACTGGGGACAGACAGACACTGAGCTCTCTTTATATAGGACTGGGGACAGACAGACACTGAGCTCTCTTTATACAGGACTGGGGACAGACAGACACTGAGCTCTCTTTATACAGGACTGGGGACAGACAGACACTGAGCTCTCTTTATACAGGACTGGGGACAGACAGACACTGAGCTCTCTTTATACAGGACTGGGGACAGACAGACACTGAGCTCTCTTTATACAGGACTGGGGACAGACAGACACTGAGCTCTCTTTATACAGGACTGGGGACAGACAGACACTGAGCTCTCTTTATACAGGACTGGGGACAGACAGACAGCACTGAGCTCTCTTTATACAGGACTGGGGACAGACAGACAGCACTGAGCTCTCTTTATACAGGACTGGGGACAGACAGACACTGAGCTCTCTTTATACAGGACTGGGGACAGACAGACACTGAGCTCTCTTTATACAGGTCTGGGGACAGACAGACACTGAGCTCTCTTTATACAGGACTGGGGACAGACAGACAGCACTGAGCTCTCTTTATACAGGACTGGGGACAGACAGACACTGAACTCTCTTTATACAGGACTGGGGACAGACAGACACTGAGCTCTCTTTATACAGGACTGGGGACAGACAGACACTGAGCTCTCTTTATACAGGACTGGGCACAGACAGACACTGAGCTCTCTTTATACAGGACTGGGGACAGACAGACACTGAGCTCTCTTTATACAGGACTGGGGACAGACAGACACTGAGCTCTCTTTATACAGGACTGGAGACAGACAGACACTGAGCTCTCTTTATACAGGACTGGGGACAGACAGACACTGAGCTCTCTTTATACAGGACTGGGGACAGACAGACACTGAGCTCTCTTTATATAGGACTGGGGACAGACAGACACTGAGCTCTCTTTATACAGGACTGGGGACAGACAGACACTGAGCTCTCTTTATACAGGACTGGGGACAGACAGACACTGAGCTCTCTTTATACAGGACTCGGGACAGACAGACACTGAGCTCTCTTTATACAGGACTGGGGACAGACAGACAGCACTGAGCTCTCTTCATACAGGACTGGGGACAGACAGACACTGAGCTCTCTTTATACAGGACTGGGGACAGACAGACAGACAGTGAGCTCTCTTTATACAGGACTGGGGACAGACAGACACACAGTTGTAGGGTTGGAGTCCAGTTGACTTTATGGACTTGTTACAGTTTATTAATTGAGTCTGTAGTTATGTCTGTGAACACAAAGTGTTTTACAACCCACCTTGCACTCGTGAGGTTAAATGATAGTTTGTTGTGTCCAATGGAGGACACCATTGCACCATGCGCAGGCCTGGGGTTTGTTCAGCAGCTCCCGCCACATCTGTCCACGGTTGCATTTTGTCTTATTTCATTTTAATTTGACTGGGGACATGTAGGGAGTTTGCGACACTAATCATTTAATTTGGTAACACAGAGAGTTTGGAAAGGGTGTTTCAGTCTTTAATTAAAGGCCTTAAACATTTCTAATTGTGTTTAAAAGAGATTAAGTGCATTGGAGAGAATAGGGTCATTCTGATAATGAATTAGAGTGTATTTATTGCTGCAGTGTGTAATAGGCGATATAATATAAATACAATATATTATGTTTTACATTGTAGCCGTCATGGCAAGCCTTGGCCGATGTCCACATTAGGATTTATTGTATATATCTGTCGGATACAGACCTCTTGGATAATGTGACTTAGTGAAGGCACCCGGCGATGCTTGCCAGAACTGATTTCTTGTTGCCCTTTATTGGTGACATCACTCACGGACACTCGAGAATGCATAAAGCTGGTGTCACTGAACACAGAATTGTAGTGAATCGAAGGCTGATTTCAAACATTTACCAAAAAAAAAAACAACAAAAAAAAACAACGCTTTCATAAAACATAATGAATAACCATTAGAATAACACTTGCTGTGCTGGTCCTGCCCTCCCTCTCACCCTCTCATTAAATAAATAATAATATATTTAAAACTTACCTCCGTTCCAGTGCTCAGGCCATGTTCTCTCTACAGCCCGACCTCCACCGCTA